GTGAAACCTTCTGGCTAGATCGTCCTGAAGACGGATGCGACGGGAATAAGTGGCATTTGGAAGTGTTGCTGACTTCACATTTAGGTTTCGACATAACAAAGCTTGCACTGTCTTTTCGCACTTAGGCGCACAGCGTGCCATTGGTAATGATTCGACTACGGTGCCACAAATTCGCAAGCTGTTCCTAAGTAATCGTTGTTGTTCATTGGATTCCGGAAGAACTACTTCGTTAGGATTGGGGAATTGCTGCGATTCTTCCTGAATAGCCTGGATTCTCTCGTCGAGAGTCACTTTGAAAGTATTACCTAAACTCTTCCGACTGAATATGATAAAGCCTATAAAACAACGAGCTACTATCATTTCTTCATTATAAATTAATATTTTCTTCGAACTTGATGCACAAATAGATAAAATAGCAGCAAATAGCATCTTTCTAGCCTGCGAACTCAATCTCATTTAGAAAGCCTTATTTCTATCTATCTTTCAGCAACTGAACGGGAATGAGTTGATAAACGAATTCTCTAGTGACTTCGTACCTCGAAGAGGGGAGAGGAGCGGAAGGAGGGACTTGAACCCTCAACCTCAGCCTTGGCAAGGCTATGCTCTACCATTAAGCTATTTCCGCCAGCGGGGAACGAACGAAAAGATACGTAGGTTTGAGTGAATGAGTTTCAAATGAGTGTAACGAAATAGGTACGAAGTAGCTATAGAACAGAGATTCGTTTCACTATGTTACCTATGTTACACTCATTCGGCCTATGAAGGAATACCTTTATATACAGGTAGGTTGTTTCAGCAATTTCCTGGAGCCGGTAAACTTGCTATATGTAATTACATGAAGCAAAGACCAGTCCATGATTGGGCAATGAGTGTCATTCCAATGGATGGTGCTGGTGACCGTATTAACAGGCTGCGCGTAAAAGAACCAAATCAGTGATATACACTGTGTTTTCACTATTCTTTGGTCCTACTTACGCGTAATAGTGCTTAATACTTTTTCCTATAACTAAGTAACTAAGAGAAGGTACGAAGTATCATTTCTGGCTGGTCAGCCACTCGGCTATTACGGCTTCCCATCACTTTGTCGGCTAAAATGGCGTACCCGAACAGGGTGACCCCTACGCTATCCTCGGTGATGATGTTCTCATCACTGATGGTAACGTTGCGTCGCATTACCGGGAGATCCTTAGTAAGCTGGGCGTTCAGATATCTGATAGTAAGTCAATTACATCACATACTGGATGCATTGAGTTTGCTAAGCGATTTTGGGTTAAAGGAATTGACCCCTATTTCCGTAAGGGCCCTAACCGGAGTGAACAGCTCAATTGGTCTGTGTGTCGTAGGTGAAATTTCTAGTATGAACGTTTTGCGGGCGCAGGCTATAGAGTCCGTTCACGCCTAATGTCCAACGATGGGAAAGGCTGTGCGACGTAAGGTAAGACCCA